GCAAGCCGCGCACTCTCGGGCCGGCCCCCCCCGGATGCCGAGCAGCGCCTGCTCGGCGTCGCCTAAGGGACGGGGAGGGGTCGCCCCGTCACATATGACAATGCTATACATGATGCAGGAGAATTGAGCTCTGGAATTTCATCTAGTCCTGAGCAAGTGCTGGTGCATAGCTGCACAACTCCACTAGGAGCCTAAGGGAAGAACTCTATAGCTCAGTCATAAATTCACAATTTCTTCCCTGTTCTCTTTGGTTCCAGAGGAAGTTTTCTACAAGGTGTAGCTTACTTCCCTTTGTATACTGGCTGAACTGTGCTAGAAGGAAGAGGTTGGAGTGAAAGCACTCTCCATCCCTGTATGTGAGGGCTGATAGTTGCTCTCTGAAGCCTGCTCTTTTTCCTGCGTCTGGTCTTTGGATCTGAGAAAATCCTTTGCAGAGTGGGAAGCCCCTTCCTCTCACTGCACTCCATGGCCACATAGTTCTACGTTACAATTTAGCTGTAAGAGTTTTTATGCCGGCTAGAGGAACAGTTCCATTGGTTCAAATCTACACCCATCTTCATTTTTGCAGGACTACTTTTGCTTCTGAAGGTTGCCATTTATGCTTGAGCTCTATGATTTGAGGCTGAGTGACAATTTTAATTTGCTAATAAAATAAATATGTCAGCTGGGTAACTTCTCTGTCCATGTAAGAATGTAGATTCCAGACTTGTACCCAGTCATTTAGTGTAAAAAACCAAGGCTATATACTCAAGACAGCAGAGGTTTTTTTCATTGTACTTCTCCTTGTTTGTACTACAAATTATATGTCTGTTAAGATGGAAGTACAGCTATGCACTTAATAAAGGAAGCTATCCGAAACATTTTTATATTTATATTTAGAATATAAAGAAAGAGCCCACATTATGCTTTTGTTTGAAATGAAGCCATTGTTTTAGGACATATGCTTTGTAGTAGTTAATCTGTGCAGTTGACTATTGTTATTTAACACACAGTGTTGATTTGTAAGCACAAGACTGTATTTAATCAAATAAACAATGTTGCTTCCATGCGGAACCTTTTTTTTCAAATTCTCCATTATGTGCATTAATAAATTGTAATCATATGGTATTAATGCCATGTGAATTTGCAAAGAGAGTGATTTTAACAGTGTCAAGCTAGAAAATGTGCCATGGCCAGAAATTATTTATAAAACTGAAGCTCTTTTAAAATGGAACCATATTTCCAGATTTGGAGCTTTATCACTTAAGGATTTTGGAGTGATATATTTTGCTTTGCATACCCCATCAAAAATATACTGTGGACCTCGTCTTGTTTTTAAAGTTGTTCCAAGAAAAAAAACCCGCCCTGAATCCTGGGCCGCTAAGATAAATGATTTTGCATGATTCTTCCAAATCCAAAATGCACAGTGGCTGCAGTTGCACAATGTCACTAGAAAACAACACTTTTCAGTTATTCTGGAGGCACTGGATGATGCTGGGCATTTTAATTCTTGGCCATTTCTGCTGTGTGCAGAAAATGGATTTTTTTGTGTTTTAGAGAGAAAAGACTGGAAATTATTTTAGTATTTACGGAATACTAACTTTAGAGCTGTATAAATCTCAGGTATTCATAAAAATAAGTCTCAATTAGAAAAGATACTGCTGGCTCCATTCAGCATCACATGAACTCCTCATGCTCTAACAACTGAGTGTTTTTTTTTTTTAATAAAAAGTTAGTTAGTAAGTACATAGTGGATAATTTTGTGTATCAGTCTAGCGCTATCCAGTGCAACAAAATATAACTGAAGGTAAAACTAAAACAATAACATTTCAGGTAAAGAAAGGTACTTTGAATTGTAGTAGAGTGAAATAGAAATTAGAAATAAAGGCTCCAAACTCCTTGTTTTCTTAGTAGCTTATAGGGCCATTCCAGGCTAACATCATGTTACAGCATTACAGTGATTCCTTTAGTAATTAATAGCAGTTAAGTTCCAGCATCGTCAGTTTTGATTAAGCAAACATTAAATTTATTCAATCTGCAAACGCTTACTCTATAAGAACTATTGAGGGGAGAAAGTGTTTGGATGGACAGAAGGACGCATCTTCATTGGATTGCTAGCCACCTCAGAGTAGTTAACAGTCAGATCAATATAGCTCCTAGAGCTATAATAAAATGGCTTCGACAAGCTCATCTGTGGCTGAGAACACAGTATACACATTGATTTCCTGGCCTGATATAACCCATTTACCTATTCAGCTAGTCCGTTAAGGAAGGTGTAAGGCTACAAAGCCCCAAGGGAGCAATGATGTCTGTAAGTAGGTTAGCAAATACTTGGAAATGTCTTAATCTGCTTTACGGTCACTACTTCAAGGAGATACATTTCTTAAAAATAAAAGGATTCTACATAATTTCTTATTCTTTTGCAACTGATTTAATTTGGCCAACATGCAGGGTTTTACGTTCAACTTCTGCCCTGTTATATGCTTCCACCATTCTGCTAACTTAGAACTTTTCAACATTTGTGATCCCAATAACAAAACTGAGTTATTACACTGCCAACTTTGAAATGTACATGTTATAAAAATATGCCAAGTCAAAACTCAACCACTATCTGTCATCCTCCACTCATTCACTCACTCAGATTGCTTTCTTGAATCAGATAGAGAGAGGAGCTAGAGATGGATATTTAGACATAGCGACAGATGAATCAACACTGCATCGACCCAAACCAAGTAATAGCTCTTTTTTTATTTATTTCTTTATCCTAGGCTTTCTGCAGTCTGTGGATAGGACGCACTCTTGGAATTGGGAGACATGGTGTATAGTCTCATCTGTGCTATGAACTTTGTCCCTGGTTCTGCAAACAGCTCTGCTTGGGTTGGGAGAAAGAACAAATAGAAAAAAACCCATACTGGTTGGTAGTGGATAAATGCCATCTTTGAGCATAGATTAAAGCTAGCTCTGCTTTAAAGTGCTGTAAGATCTACTGATGAGAGAGTCCTATATAAGAGCTATGTTTTTATTTTATTTTATTTTATTTTATTTTATTTTAATTAATTAGTTATGTGAATAGAACCCTGGAAATTCATGCATATCCGCTTTTTATCTGGGGGTATTCGCATCTGCAGTTGTGGATGAAGATATCTGCAGCTCATATTTGCAGATACAAATGCAGATGTGATACAAATTTTGTATCCACAGAGAGATGAGAATGTAAACAGTCTTGTC